CGTTCCTGAGTCTGGCCATCAGGGCCGCCATATCTCTGCTGTTGAACTGAAAATCGATCTGATCGATACTGATCATCGCGGCATCGTAAGCCACGCCGATCCCCTCAAACCCACGATTGGGCTCACAGGCCACAGTGACGATTCTGTCCATAAATTCTCGACGACGGGAAGGATCATCGAGTTGGTATGTGGCATGGTCACCATTGAAGAGTCGTTTGATCCAATTTGATGCCGATAAATAGTCATTTGATCGGATAAATCCCAGGATGACCTCCAAGATGTGCTCGGCGCTGCTCTTGAAAGTAGACGATGGATCGAGGGTCGGGCTCAAAGAGTCTTCCAATAAACCGACAGCTGCAATTGAATCTCCGGTAGCCAAGTAGACCCGCATCAGAGATAGTAATACCTGGGCATCGCTACTTTCGTTCACCGGCTGAGGTTGCCATTTCTGGACTGGCACAGATTCAGGGGCCGCTAGAATAAAGGAGGATGGAGGTTTGAGTTGGTGCTGGTGATATAGAGTCGAATTTTGTTCATCGGGATCAGATCGGGATTGCTTGTAGGTTTCGAAGAGAGCCTTAGCCTGGGGCAGTTTGTTTGCCAAGCCCATTAGGACAATCAGGTTCGAGTAAGATTCAGCTGATAGTTCCTGACGGTCTTCCAATATCTTGAATACCTTGGTAGCAAGAGCGAGTCGGGCGGAAAGCTTGGCTGAAGAACGAGCCGACCCAAAGTGATCAATGTTGGCACAACATTGAATCAGGGCCTCTAGAGCTGCCGGTTGGAGTTGATTGACGATTTCACGATCAAATGAGTCGAACAACTTGGCCGCAAAGCCGAAGTTGGGCTCTGAATTTAAATGGCCAATCATTTCGACGTCCTCAGTAGTAGGAACCGGAGCGAGCGAGAGATTAGGCAGACTTTGATTCAGCTGCTGGTTGACACTGATGTTGGCCAATCGGTTCTTGCGATGTTCTAACTCTTTAGCATTACTGAGATCGCGCCTGCATAGAGCGGTGAGTAAGATGCTGCGTGTTTCATGACTCGGTTTGAAAGGCGTGTTGCTAGTCAGGTACCGGTGGTCATCAAGTAGGTTAGTGATCGGCTCGTAGTTGGGTTTATTGACGACGATTCCCCAGAACATCAGATCGATCACATCAGAACTCGGCTGGCTAGTTGAGCTGAGGTAGGAATCCAACATCTTTCGTAGCTGGTAGTAGGTTGTATGGTGATTTTTCTCGGTTGTCAGAATGGTATGAGTTGCCCTTTGGATCCATTGTTGATCGATTGACTGAGGGTGATTGGGATTCAGCTTATCCGATCGTAGGAGGTGAGTAGTTGAGTTGTCAGATGTTTTGCTGGTCATCAGAGGACCATTTTCAGCGGGCCCAGGCTGTGACTGATGGGCTAGAGTAGACTGGTTTCGCTGAGATGTTCGTCTAATATCGGTTAGATTGTTCAGCCGATTGAGGTCACATGGGGCAAGATTCCCGGTAGAAAACCTACGGGCATAGGGCCTCGAACCCGCGAGGTTTGGCCCAGATGGTGAGAGGCAATCGATTGAATGTCTACGAGGAGGTTTCCGGAAGGGAAACAGAGTCCGATGGGGATCAGTGGAAGAGTTGGAGTAAGGGTGAGGGTCATTGGAGGCAGAGAGAATCTGATCGAGGGGGTCGGTCGAGTTGGCTTGATTCGGATCCCACAAAATGCAGTCTTGCAACGGGTCTGTAGAGTGGTGCATTCCAATCCGAGGCCGCCGGTCGGATTGAGTGAAGTTTGTTCATTGCTCCACCTTGAGGAGATAGTGCGGTTTCGTTTCTTGTAGATGCCGATCGTGCTGAGGTACAGAGGGGCAAATTCGTCATGATCTTCATCCTCCTCATTTAGTCTTGAACCAAAGCCTTCGAGTGAAGTAGCATTAGTTTGAGTGATCAGACGACTATGAGCCTGTGGGGGTGTGAGGGATAGGAGCACACAAGTCGATCGTGGTCAGGAGGAATAAAATCTGATCAAAGAGAGAGTGAGATTGGTCTTTTTTTTTTTGAAGTGTTTGTTCTGACCTGCTGGTTCCAATTGGTGCGACTACCTGCGTTCCATTTGGCTCCACCGGCTCCGCCCGAGGCGCTTGATCCGGAGGTAGAACTACCGAGCCCGGTGGCAGTGGCGGAGTTATTGAGGGTGTGAGAATTCTGGCCGACGGTCGAGCTGAGGTTGATGTTGGTGAAGGTGTTTCGTAGATGTTGGAAGTGCTGATGTCCTCGGTTGGCGAAATGAGAGAGCTTGAAAGGTGAAATGTGAGTGGCAAATTTGGGCAAGAGCATGTTGAGGATGATTTGAATGAATTATTTGTCGAATGGCCAATAATTCTTTTAACAGACTGGAACAGATTGAGGGTCAGTTTGGATTTTGATTATCGCTCGAGCAAGAGAATGGTCGTACCAGGGTGTATATTAGACAAGGTCGTATGTATGAAGGTGATCGATCGCCCTAGTGCCCAGGCCGGGAGGGGGAGTCTGGATTTAGAAGAGTGAGCGGGCATCAGTTTAAGATATCGTGGGTTGTATTCCGTTGTGAGTGTACTTACTTGGGTATCTGTCTCTGGCTAGCTCCTCGAGATGTAGTGCCGACTGGAGTGGAGTGGGTGGTCAACTGGGAAAGAAGAAGAGGAAGAAGAAGAAGGAGAAGGAGAAGAAGATGAGGGAGGGAGGGACAAATTGAATATGCCAAGCCATATTGCATACACCCAGCCAACAAATCATCATCACCTTGATCATGGGTGCTGTCCCCTTGAAAGGATGGCTGGACTGACCACCTCGACCGCTGATACACAAAAAAACATCTCGAGGGGAACTTAAACAATCAGGGATCAATTCTTCCTACAGTTGACTCTGGTAAAGAAATTCAGTCCTGCATAGGGATCATCTCAACATGAAAAGTTGACTGCTGAACCCAGATTCGCCAGCCCTGTTTGCTCATTGGACTCGGTAGATGTATATAAGCCCGCTGATATGTAATTTAACATTTCATGGCCTGGGTCTCAGTACTCAGGTATGGTGTATCATCAGACCCTTTCAAGCATATTCACCATCTCTTAGGGGCCGTTCGGCCCGCGACCAGTATCTGGATAGTATCTCGTGGGCCCCCGCGAAACTTGAGATACTGTCAAGATACAGTATCTCAAGTTGATGAGATACTGCTCAGGTGACTTTACGCGTTCGGCAGACTCAAGTTCTTCAAAATATCCAAGATTCCATATCTCCACCGTCAGCCATCCTCCTCCAACCTGAGATCCTGGGGTTTTGCAGTATCTCAAAGCAAAATCTCAATCTCCTCCCCGTTTGCTCGGCTCCTCCTCACTCAAAAACAAACAAGTCCTATTATTTTACACCCCACCCAAGCACAGCACCGAATTCAATGCCACCCAAAGTATGCAGCTCTCAGACTCATCGAGCTCCACGATTGACGGCCGGTCGTACTGGGGGGGTCCATACAACTGGCCCCGTTGCCAGAATTATTGCTAGAACCGATGCTGTGCCAACCCGTTTGATCACTCCGGCTGTCCTCTCCGGCGCAGAAACCAATGTCCGATCTTTGACTCACCCTCAAGCGACTGACTTGTCACAAGGAACCCTTGTAGCCCATGCTACTGGTCTCTCTCAAGCTACCGGTCCCTCTCAAACTACGGTTCCCTCTCAAGCTACCAATCTCTCTCAAGGTGACAGTTTCCCTCAAGCTGACAATGCCACCCCAAGCGACCGATCTATCTCATTTCACTGGCTTGACCGAGTCAACCAACTCAAGTATGACACAGGAAACAACCCTTTCGGAAATACCGGAATCCCAGATGTCTATAAATCAGAAAAAAATCACCTGTCGCTGGACCGATGACGACGATCGGGCATTGGTCCGTTGCTTGCTAGATGAAAAAGCTGCTCATCCGAGTGCCATCAATGGTTTTAAGCCGGTCTCCTGGGCACAGGCAGTGGTTGCGTTGGATGGATCAGAATTGGCCAATGGGTCAAAAGCGAAGGACGTAAGCACCTGTAAGAGTCGCTGGCAAGCGGTGAGTTGTTGCTGGTCTACCCACCTGGGCTGTATGTTGGATTTGAGCTGAGTTGTGTTTAATTTATGTAGTTAAAAAAAATGTACATCAGCTTCAGAACGGTCCGGAATATGTCCGGGGCCGGTTGGGATGAGAGCTCAATGATGGTAACTCTCCCTTCGTCTGTGTGGGCCGAGCTAGCGTTGAACACCAGTGCTACTGGGAAGGATTTGTCTCGATGGCAGAATCGATCGTTTCCATTATTCCACGATCTCATGGCCTTGGTAGAAGGGAAGGTTGCAACCGGAGATTTGATGGAGACTACTGAGGATGAAGAAAATACCGATGAACGAGATGTGGGGAACGCTGTTCCATTGGACTCACAACTAGAAGGGAGTGATGCTGAGAATGTTGACGAGAATGACGAACCAGTGATCGAAGCGCCCCCGGTATCATCCACCCCGGCCTCGTCTAAGCGCAAACGGGGCTCAGCGATGTCACCAGATGTCTTCCTCAGCGAGCTCAGGACAATGAGCTCAGATATGGCCAAGTCCATGTGTGCTCCAATTCCTCCGATCAGCTTCACTCAACAGGCCCCTCCTCCGTCATTTCATATGCAAGCAATCGACCTCATTCAGAAGGACAAAGATTTGGTGGATGTGCAAATTTTTGAGGCAATCGACTTCCTCCATGATTCAACGCATGCAGAGACATATGTAGCCCTCTCTGAAGCCCTCCGATCGACTTGGCTTCGCATGAAATTGGGCTGGTAGTTTAGATTACTTGACTTGGTTACCAATCTACAATTAGCTTGTCTGTCATCACTCTATCTTCATTAAACCAATCATTACCAATGTGTCTGTTAATGTGTCTGTTATATCACCGGAGTTTGTGACCTCACCAGGCTGTTAACAAATAGTTCAATCTCAATGACAGCCAAGAGATCAACGATTGTTTTGTTTGGCATGTGAATATGTAGCTAAAATAGATGAAGCGATTGGAAGTGAGACAAATGCAACAAAGAGAAACATGTTCTATTCAGGCACTACACGTTGTCCATGGCGCTGTCGATGACGAAGGATTTTCTGGTAGTCGGCCCACATGGCCATTGCAATATCATCTCTTTTCTTTGTCGCACGGGCGGTTTCTGACTTTGGTATGCCGGATTGGTGCAGGGTGCCATATTCTACCGTATCTGGCTGCTCATTCCCAGGTCTAGCATCATTGCTCCGTCGAGGGCTGTTAGCAAGCTCGTGGGGGTCTGTGACTCGGATAAAATTGTGTAAAAAAGCCATAGCTATGATTGCTTTGACCTGAAGCTGGATGTTATATTGACAACCCATTGCCAATACTCGGAATCGGCTTTTTATCACACCAAAGATCCGCTCAATCACATTCCTAGCACTAGCATGGCGTAAGTTGAATAGCTCTTGATGGGTTTGCGGCCTGAAATGCAACACCATCAGGTCATTAACAGGGATAATTATTGAGGAGGAGGAGGATCAGAGTCAAGAAAAAATACATACTTCTTCCCCCCAACAACATCCCAGTCCTTGAGATGGTATTTTGTTGCTCGATAAGGTACCAAGCAAGAATCACTCAAAGGGAATCCAGCATCCCCCAACAGCCATTTTCCTGGTGGGATTCGTAATGATTTCAATCGAGCTGCATCCCAGAGCTTACCATCATGAGCACTACCCTCCCAGCCCGGCATGACATATGTAAACTCCATGTTGAAGTTACATACTGCTAAGACGTTCTGGGATGGATAACCCTTTCGGTTGATGAAAGCCCCATGCTCATGAACAAAGACTGGGATGTGGCTTCCATCGACGGCACCAACACAGTTGTCAAAGTAGGGTGAAAATTTGGTGTTTGATTGGATTTCCACTGGAGTTGGTGCATCTTCAGCTGGTAACGTTATAAACCGACGGACCAAGGACCGGTTGTTGACTAGATCGCGGATCAATTGATTGACATTGATGGAAATAGTTGAAGCTGATCGCTGGAATCTCTCCTGGAGCTTTCGGTTGGAGAGTCCAGTGATCAGCATGTACAACAGGATTCCCAACTTCTCAGTTGACTTCACATGTTTTGAATCGTACAAAACCCCTTCTTCTTCCAATAGTGATTTCAGCGCAAAAAAAGTCCCAATCTTCATCCCCATGTTGTCGTAGAATGGGGTTTGGTTTGGATTGTGGATCAACTCATCCATCCACATGGCCCCAGTTAGAATTGATATGTGTTTACGGATGGGTTTCTTCTTCGTTAGGTTGGTGTAGAGCTGGTAACCTAGGAAAAGCAGCTTTGTCTGCATTAAATGATGAATTCCCCTGCGCCGACGTACAAGAATGTGGTGTATGTGGTGATAAGCGAGTCGAGTCTGCTCGTCAGACAAATATTCCAAAAAAGAGCTATCCATGGTAGCTGGATTGCTAGGTGAAAGGAACGATGTTGTTGGTGCAGTAGGTATTCCTGGCGTGACCAACGGATGTGTGAGATATTGATTGGCAGTGTGCAGCCAAACGGTCCCGGTATCTGAAGGTCTTTCATGAGCTCAGATACCGTGACATGTTCGGTTGCACATATGCAATTGGGGGATCTGTTTCAGATAGAATATCTGCCCATGGGCAGATATTCATTCTGGATTTTGCAATCTGGGACTCGCGCGCGGCCGAACGGGCCCTTACACGTCTTCCTGATCAGATTAACCCATTTATATATATGATTCATATGATGGGCACAAGATGGCCATATAAGGCCTCGTTTGGCCGTCCATGATCGTCATAAACGATCATGGCGAATATATCGGGGGTGCACAGCTGAAGACGGGGCCTCACGATGGTGTTTGGGAGGCCACGTCATATCCACTTTTTTTATTACGGAAGTGGTCAGCGAAATATATTCCCTGCCAATTCCAACATTTTGGGTCCCCCCAAAATTTTGCGTCATAAGTCCTCACAGCGAGGTTGATGAGGATTTTCAGGCTGCGTCATTTGCACAGCCTGGAATCATCAAACCTAGATTTTGATTTAACGATTTGAGACGACGGCCTATTACGATCGTGGACGGCCAAACGAGGCCTAAGAGATGGATGAGAAGATCATCTTCAGAGAGTGGAGGTATTGCTTGTGGTGGATGGGCTCCTTGTGAACAAACAAAGACTAGGACATGGGTATAAGTGATACAGAGTAATCCACCATAAAAAAAAGACAGAAAATAGATGGATGGCTGTCATATATTCTTGGGTTTTTTTTTCTGCCTATCACTAGAGCATGACAAGCATAGATCTATATTTATATTTATTTGACTCTAAGCATTGGGGAAGTAATGTGAGTAGATCATGGCTGGACAGGAAATTCAAAGACAGGAAGTGATATTTATGATAAACAAAATTTCAAAACCATGCTGGATCTATATGCTACTCACTGCATTCATCCCTGGTATCTACAACAGCCAACTGAGGAATGCAAATCAAAAGCTATTGACATTCTCATCAATTGGTGGGAACTCTTTACTTCCCTATGATCCTGTTATAACAAACTGTGGGTAAAGAATTGAATGCAATTCTTTTTTTGCAACCTTCACCAGCCCAAAAATACAAAGCCAATGTGTTTGTGTTCTGGTGCTTGTTGGAGACACTTTGGCATGCCCAAAACCTAACATAAATTTTGCATCAGTTGGGGACTTGGGTTTGGGTTTGGGCAATCAGAGCTAAACGAAAAACCATCCAACTGGACCCAACCTTAACAAAGCCTCTTATTTTGAGAGTGTAGGAAAGTCTGGGTGACAGCACAGTCTCACCAGAGAGGCTTAAGCATATAAACACAAATTCGGCCCAATCAAGACATGATTTTGAGGCCTGTTTTTGTACCTTCACCTCTGGATTCCATGCTGTTATTGGGAGGGCACGTTCAGCCCAGCCAGTCATACCAGTTAGGCTCCCATCAAGGGAAGTTTGAACACAACCCAGCCTGCTTGTAAACTGTGGGTATTGAGCCTGAGACTTTTATTGCTCAAAAGAAGAATATAAATCAGAACATGATGAGCAAGAGGTAAATAAGGAATAGAATTTTTTTTTCTTCACCAGAGTATCAAAAAAAGATATAGCTTCCAACAACTAAGATAAAGGGAGCACAGGAGGAGTAACACTGTTATGAGCTGTGGGGGACTGGAACTGGGGACGTTACATATGTAGAGAGCCTGTTACGTACATGTCACGAACTTCGAACTTGGAGTTCGTTCGAGATCCGAACCTTGTACATTCCTCATCTTGCAATCTACCATCAAGACTCAGAACCCAGAAGATCCCTCACCTGCTCTCCCCAGAACACCCATAACAAACACAGCCTAAGAAAGTTGAGAGGCAAAAAAGAAAGGAAAGAAAAACATAAGCTGACTGAGGCGGGATGATTACTGGTTGAGGCTGGTGATTTCTCATCAATTAGAAATAGGACCAATGTGTTAATAACTTCAAAATTTGACTCAGGGTTGATTAATGATTTAGTGAGTCAAGGTAATGAGATTTGTGGTAGTTGAGGAAAGAAGAAGACAGGAGGGTAGGATTGAAAAGGGTTCTGATGAAGAGGGAGGCAAATGAGAGAGGGTTGTGGAGAGTGAGTGAGTGAGT